CTGCCCCGCGCGCGGCGGGGCTGGGGGTTGGGGCTGCGGCGGGCCCGCCCCGCCTGTGCTGCGCGGTTGGGCCGCGCTTGTACGTTTGTCGGGGTTGAGGCCGCTTGCTGGTGTGATTAGCGGTGCGCCCCGGAGCGCCATCAGCCCCTCTCAAAGGAGGGCTCTCGGTCTGTGCACAGTGAGGTCAAATAGTGCCGGGGCAGGCTGCCAGGATAGCAGGACTCATTGCCTGCTGCCCTGTGCATCAGCCCTGCCTGCTGCTGCTGCTGCTGTGCGAGGTAGTGGGAGGCAATGGGCAGGTGTCTAACTCTCCTAGGGTCCCTATTCTGATACAGCCCCCAGCTGGACCTATTGTTAAGCCTCCTGTTCAGGGTGGAAGTATTAATTGGTCCGTTTCCTCCCTCTGGGTAGTTCCTACAGTCACTCTTCCAGGAAGTCTGACTTGGGGCATGGGTAAAGCTCCCATCTAATTGAACCTCTTTGCTGGTGATTCCTGTTTCTCTCACTGAATAAACTAATGTAACTTTCTAAATGAATTATTTTATAATAGGCACAAGAGGGAAATCAAGTCATAGTGTCCAGCCGAGTTAGGCTTTCTGCAGTCAGTTTAATTGGTGACTTGGAGTGTTGCTAGGAGTAAATGGGATTTGCTTCATTACACTGCTTCCATGCAGTAGGGGGTACAGGTTAATGGTAGTGACAAAGACGAGGGTTACTAATGCATAAAGTGCATGCCTTTATGGATAAGGATTCTGTGCCCAGTGAGAGCTATCTTTTCACTTGGTCTTGCTTGTCCTGCTTCCAGAAAAAAAACCCTATCTTTCCTGAGAGTGCTGCTCACATGCTCGCTTTCTTCCCTTCCTTCTCACTCCAAAAAAAGCATGCGTATTGAATGAGCTCAAATAGATGGGAGCATAGCTGGTGGTACTCTTAATGTTGAGCAGTTTCCTTTGTTTGTCTGAGGAGGGCATCAGAATATTTGACCTGAGTGAACTTGCTATTGGAAGCACAGCTTAGATTTTTATGTCACAACTTGACTGTAGCAATGATGGTGATGGGAAATGAAGAAGGTTCCCCACCACCTCCTGTAAAATAGTAGACTGACCTGTGGCCTATCCCTTCCCACCCCTACCCTGTACCCATCTACCGTCTTAGGGTAGGTAAAAACATACTGCTTTTGATTTAAATGAAATCCTGCTGTGACGTTGTCCCCATGTAAGAATCTAAATCTCCTGTGATGTACAATTTCAATACAGTTGCATTTGTACCTTTTATGATCCCACCCTGCCACCAGTGCTCCAAGTCATGCCCCAACCCTGCACCTATCTGCTATCCCGGAGCATAAGGAGAACAAGGTAGACTGAAAGCATGCAGTACTTACCAAAATCCTGCCTGGGCAGCATTGCCATGCTTCATCTTGCAGCCCTGACCTCAAAGTGTGCAAGGATTTATCCGCCCTTCGTTCTGGCACTGGGGTACTGGTCTATTTCTGCGTGTTGAGGGCTGATACCAGGTCGCTCTTGGTGTTGCTGAGCCGTCTGGATGTTATAGGTCCCAGGGCCACAGCTGGAATTGTGGCCTCTGGTCCTGCAGCTGCTGATGTCCAATCACTCCTCCACCAGCTGGCGGGCCTGCCTGCTCAGGCGTGCATCCCCTCTGGGGAGCTGTCTGGTGGTGGGATGCAGCTGCACGGCATCAGCTCTGTGCCTGGCATTCGGTGCATCGCCATCATTGGGGAAGTTCCTGTAAAGTGATCTAATTCTTTGGAGCTCATGCTCATCCCCCTCCGGCCTTTGCCCTCTCCTCCTCCACCACCAGAATGCCAGGGCACCAGCCCCCAGCAGCACAGCTGCCCCCAGTGCCAGCTTCACTTTCCAGCTGCCCGATGTCACTGGGCGCTGGTGGTCAGGGCTTGGGATGAGCGTGGCAAAATCCAGTTTGGATAGTGGGACCATCCTTGCATACCACTCAGCACAAGTGGGAGGAAAAAGTCCCAGGGGCTCCTTGTTGCTCGGGGTTGACACCCGGGTCACTAAAGAGGGGGAATTGTGAGGGCCTGGGCCTGGGCCTGGGCCTGGGCCTGGGCCTGGTGGGGGAGATAAAGAAAATAAGGCTCTTCTGATGTAGCGCTAGGCTTCTGCCTGTCAAGCAACTTCTGGATGTCTCCCAGAGCCAGCTTAATAAAAGTGCCAGTTCTTGCAATCTTGGTGTTTCTAACATAGCAATATGATTCCTGAAGAACCTGTTCTTTCTTAGCTTTTTGCCACCACCATTGCAGAGAAAAGCTGGAAAATGTGAATCTGACAAAACCCATAACAAGAAGTTTAGAGCATCTTCTTTACTTTATTTTGGGGGACCTGATCTTTTGATTTGTTTTTTAATTGAATGGCTGGGATTGGCAATACAGTAGACTGCACAGGGGTAGATAGAGGCCTCCTTCAAAAGCAAAGGAAAAGAAGTAGTTAAATCCCCTTTTTGGAGAAGGTCCAGTTGGTGACTTGTATGGTGGTATTGCCTGAATTAGACATAGCCCAGTCATGATGATAATGCATCTAAATATAGTGTCTTTGTTCCACAAGGATCAAAAATACATTTCAAACTATATCTGTGAACTCTGGCCATCACTGAAATGCAGTGTAGGGTAGAACACTACAGCTGCTTGCCAGTGTAGACTACCATACAAAACTTAAGACAGGAAGAGAAGAATATCAGAGGGAATATGGACACAGGGAATGAAAATGCGTGGAATTGTTAATGACTGTGTATGGTTAGGACCTTGGTTTTAGGACTCATCTAGAAGGCAGCAGTCTAGTGTCTCTAAACACTGATGTTTCATTCAGTATCAACTGAGAGAAAGGAATATGTACTAGGTCTCCAGTACCACTTTTTGTCCAAGGTGATCCTGGCCAGAATCATTCCTACTTAGTTTGAGCTGATGAGCTTGCAGCTAAAGATAATGTGGTCATTTACTGTGTCTTAAGGCTATGCTATGGCTCTGATAATTTCATTCCATCAGCCTCTTCAGGGCTTTATCGAAGTCTTTTTTTCATCTCCTGGGATGGTCTTGAGATGTCTTGGAGATGCATGCAGGGATTTTTTTAATGTCAAATTAAAAATGAGGTTTTTTTTGGTTAGTGAGCTTGAATGAAAGCATTCAGATAGAATTTTAAATAATTCAAACACTGTTACAAATGATTATAGGACTGCCTAAGCCTCAGAGATGGATTAAATTAATTTTTTTGTGCTGTTGGTTACACTATGTATGTCAACAGTTCAAGAATCCTATGCTAGCCACCAAATGGGCTACAGTTTCTGAGCTGGAGATACCATGTGCAAACTTTCAAAAGTCTCCAGAGCTCTACAAGGCCTTGACCTGCATGCTGAGACTACCAGCAATGGTGTCAACTATTCCGGGGTTTACTGGAATGCTGAGACCTTTCCCATAACGGCTACATTGAATTGCCCAGGTAATTTCACTTTTCTTTGTCCAGCCAGAAGCTTTTCCCTTGTGTTTGCATAATGGCTAACATAGTGCGGGCTCAAGTATTGTATTTAAAATATGAGAGCTGCTTTTGTTTACAGCCAGTTTAGGCTAGGTTAGTAATAGTACCTAAGAGGCAAACAGCTGCCTTAAAATAGGTCTTGCCCCAAAAAGTGACCAACCCTTCAATGTCATGGATTTGAATCGTATGGTACGAGTGCAGACTTTTAGAGGAGTAGAATCCATTTTCATGCTACATGTATTAATCCTCTGTGTTCCTTGCCTGTTGTGCTCTTCTGCGAAGATGAGGTAACATGGGAAAATGGTTAAAAATCTAAATCTCTTGTGATTGCAACTCCAACACAGCTAGCAGCTATACCTTTTGTGTCCCTCCACCCCCAATGCAGCAGGTCCCACTCTAGCTCTCGAAGTCTGTGGAGGCTTGTCCATTGTCAGTTCTGGCAGTGGTGTCACTACTTCTCTAGCAGTTCAGGCCTGCACCCCGTTTGGGAGGTGGCTGGAGATGGGATGCTGTGTGCTTGGCTCCTTGGCTTCTCTCCTTGTAGTAGGAGGATGCATTTAGTGCATCACTGTCACTGGGGAAATTCCTATAAAGTGATCTCACCCAGTGGAGCTCAGGCTCCTGGAACTCATCCTCTCTGGCCTTGGCACTCCCCCTCCTCCACTACCAGATTACCAGGGCTCCAGCTTCCAGCAGCACAGCTGCCCCTAGTGCCAGCTTCACTTTCCAGCTGCCCAATGTCACTGGGTGTGAGTGTGGCAAAAACCAGCTTAGATAATAGGCCCACCCTCACACAGCACTCAGGGGCTCCCTGTTTCCCTGACACCTGGGTTACCAAGGAGGGGGCATTGTGAGGGAAGTGGTTGGCCTGGGCCTGGTAGGTGTGATGGAAAAAACAGAGCTTTCCTTCTCGTGTAGCACTATGCTTCTGCCTGTCAAGAAACTTGACATGCATAGCAGTGTTTGTGGATGGTCCCACAGAACCAGCTTAACAAAAGTGCCAGTTCTTCCAATCTTGGTGTTTCTAGCATAGCAACATAACTCCTGGAGGATCTGTTCTTTCTTATTTTTTTGCTACCTCCCTTGCAGAGAGAAGCTGGAAAATGTGAATTTTAAAGGACAAAACTCAGAAAGTAAAGAAAATGCTCTGAACTTCTCATTATTTGGGGGGAGGGGTGCTGACCTTTGGTGGGGGGGGGGGGTTAATTGAATTGATGGGATTGGCAATATTGTAGTAAGAGTGCATAGGGTTGGATAGAGGCCTCCTTCAAAAGCAGTGGAAAAGATGTACCTTTTGTTTCCCTCCACCCCTAATGCAGTAGGTCCCACTAGCTCTGTCTGTGGATGTTTGTCCATCCTCAATTCTGAAAATGGTTTAATAGAATGGTGACCAGATGCCCTTACGTTTTTTGCTGTTGAGGATTGATGGCAGGTCTCTCTGAGCCTTCAGCCCCA